CGCCATCAAGTATTCGAGCAGCTTGTCTCCTGGCGCCGACGGCATCAGATTCCTGGCATGCCGCCGATGCCCGGACCTCTCTGCGACGATTCTCTCCGACGGCCAGGGCACTCACGGATGACTTCGACGGCAAGATCCTCAAGGAGGAGCGGCGGAAGGTTTTCAATGCGAGCCTCCGTAACCTTGTGCTCAATACGGCCGCCATGGCGTTGCCCGCCCGAGTGGTGCATTACGGGCCAGACTGGGCCCGCCCATTGTCTTCCAGAAAGACCGACAACCGCCCTTTGGCCAACGCGGTTCGGTACGTGATCGAGCCGATCATCGGCCCCAAATTTGCACCGGCACATCTGATGTTTATCGCGGGCCCGAGGATGCCCCTTCAGAAGGAAAGTGGTCTGATCAGCGGTGGAGTTGTCCTTCTCCGCGTTCGTGCATGTGCTGATGGCTTACTCTTTCAGGAGGTTCCGCTGTGTGTGCTTTCGTGTCGCTGTGGAGGGTAAGCGCCAGAGCATGGCAGTTGGGCCAGAGCAGGTGTGTGTACTTTTCTTGGACACCCACTTTCAAGAAATTCCCGGACTGGGGTTTCTCACCACACTGGGCATCGACATGCTGCAATCAAGCCAGGCTTGCCAGATCGACACGTCGTCGGCGCACTTCTCCCCCGCGGAGAGGCAGGCATGCGAGGCCTTGAGTCATGGCCCCGCTGACTGGATCACAGTTGGGGCGATGAGGGGCTTGCGTTAGGTCGGGCATACCCCCCCACAGACGGCTTTTGGATGAAACATTGAAAATACAAAACATATCAAAGAAACATAACCTGAAAAACAGTCCCCGTATCTCTTTCTGGATTCTTTTTTTGAACACTCTTCATGTAGAGGGACACGCCCGACTTAAGGCTTGCGGTGCGTCGGCTTCCTGGTGGACCTGCCAGACATCCCGAGCATGGCAATGGCTGCCTGGGCGCGCGTGGCGCGATTCCATGGCGTTGCGTGGGGGGGGGGGCTCAGGGACCGGCGGCCCCCATCGGCTTTCTGCGGTTTGCGAAACCGCCAGGGGGGAGCATGAGGAGGAGCAGGAGGAGGAGGAGCAGGAGGAGGAGGAGGAGGAGGACAGCCAACCTGGACTGGGTTGCAAACTTCAGCGCCTTCGTCCTGGGTCGCCCCCAATGCCACCTGCAGGCCGCCACCAGCGCTTTGGCTTCGGCTGAGGATGACGTCCGCTCGACCTTCTCACTCCTGGACTCTGCGAGCACCGCCGGTCTCCAGAAGGAGGGCTGGAAGGCCAAGGCCGCGCGTATATTTCGAGCGGCGGCCTGTCATGCGGCGGCAGCGCAGGTGCGGAGCCGTTTGGAGAGTGGTCTCTCCCTGCCCTTGTAGGTCAACGCCCGTTCGCCTGGTCTCATTGCAGCTCCTTTTCTCCCTTCTCAGGTCCGGGCGCGCCAGAATCGCACCACCTGAAACTTCTGACGCACAGCGTGGCGAAGCCAGCAGACACGCGGCTGTTTGTTGGATTGCGGACCCATGGAGGACAGCGCCGAATACTATGCATTCTGGTGCATATCTCACACCCTGTGTCAGGGACGTTTGGGCCCCAATTATCCCGGCAAAGCAACCTAACAGCGATGTGTAGGAGCATATCTGGAAGCATTCCCCAGAAGATTCAGATGAGAATCCAGTTGTAGAATTCTGCTGTTCTCGCAGTCGTAGTCGCATTCGCGATGACAGTCGCAGTGGCAACGGCAGTCGCCGTCACAGTCACAGCCTCAGCCTCAGCCTGCCTCAGCCTCAGCCAGCCTCAGCCTGCCTCAGCCTCAGCCTGCCTCAGCCTCAGCCTCAGCCTGCTTCAGCCTCAGCCTCAATCTGCCTTCAACCTCGTTCTCAGCCTCAGCTTGCCTCAGCCTCACCCTGCATCAGCCTCAGCCTCAGCTTCAGCCTGCCTCAGCATCAGCCTGCCTTAGCCTCAGCCTCAGCCTGCCTCAGCCTCAGCCTTAGCCTGCTTCAGCCTCAGCCTCAGTCTGCCGTCGGCCTCGGCCTCAGCTTCAGCCTGCCTCAGCCTCAGCCTCAGCCTGCATCAGCCTCAGCCTCAGCCTCAGCCTGCCTCAGCATCAGCCTGCCTCAGCCTCAGCCTCAGCCTGCCTCAGCCTCAGCCTCAGCCTCAGCCTCAGCCTGCTTCAGCCTCAGCCTCAGTCTGCCTTCAGCCTCGGCCTCAGCCTCAGCCTGCCTCAGCCTCAGCCTGCATCAGCCTCAGCCTCAGCCTCAGCCTGCCTCAGCATCAGCCTGCCTCAGCCTCAGCCTCAGCCTGCCTCAGCCTCAGCCTCAGCCTGCTTCAGCCTCAGCCTCAGTCTGCCTTCAGCCTCGGCCTCAGCCTCAGCCTGCCTCAGCCTCAGCCTGCATCAGCCTCAGCCTCAGCCTGCAGCCTCAGCCTGCCTCAGCCTCAGCCTCAGCCTGCCTCAGCCTCAGCCTCAGCCTGCTTCAGCCTCAGCCTCAGTCTGCCTTCAGACTCGGCCTCAGCCTCCGCCTGCCTCAGCCTGAGCCTGCATGAGCCTCAGCCTCAGCCTCAGCCTGCCTCAGCATCAGCCTGCCTCAGCCTCAGCCTCAGCCTGCCTCAGCCTCAGCCTCAGCCTGCTTCAGCCTCAGCCTCAGTCTGCCTTCAGCCTCGGCCTCAGCCTCAGCCTGCCTCAGCCTCAGCCTGCATCAGCCTCAGCCTCAGCCTCAGCCTGCCTCAGCCTCAGCCTGCCTCAGCCTCAGCCTCAGCCTCAGCCTGCTTCAGCCTCAGCCTCAGTCTGCCTTCAGCCTCGGCCTCAGCCTCAGCCTGCCTCAGCCTCAGCCTGCATCAGCCTCAGCCTCAGCCTCAGCCTGCCTCAGCATCAGCCTGCCTCAGCCTCAGCCTCAGCCTGCCTCAGCCTCAGCCTCAGCCTGCAGCCTCAGCCTGTCTGCCTTCAGCCTCGGCCTCAGCCTCAGCCTGCCTCAGCCTCAGCCTGCATCAGCCTCAGCCTCAGCCTCAGCCTGCCTCAGCATCAGCCTGCCTCAGCCTCAGCCTCAGCCTGCCTCAGCCTCAGCCTCAGCCTGCTTCAGCCTCAGCCTCAGTCTGCCTTCAGCCTCGGCCTCAGCCTCAGCCTGCCTCAGCCTCAGCCTGCCTCAGCCTCAGCATCAGCCTGCCTCAGCATTCAAAATGTGGCCCGGGAATGGAGTTCTGGGAACTCGAAGAACACGAAGTGGCCTACAGTTGGCTCCGGGCATTCAAAATCATGCCCAGGAGTGGAGTTCTGGGAACTCGAAGACCACGAAGTGGCCTACTGTTGGCTCCGGGCATTTAAAATCATGCCCAGGAATGGAGTTCTGGGAACTCGAAGACCACGAAGTGGCCTACAGTTGGCTCCGGGCATTCAAAATCATGCCCAGGAATGGAGTTCTGGGAACTCGAAGAACACGAAGTGGCCTACAGTTGGCCCCGGGCATTCAAAACCATGCCCAGGAATGGAGTTCTGGGAACTCGAAGACCACGAAGTGCGTTACTGTTGGCTAAAAAAAGAGTCCCTGGCATCCTCCCCCGGATCGCGCCCAGACCCCCCTGGGCCGTCATGATGCTCTCTCTTGTGACCCTACTAGAAGCCTATCAGTCTTCGCTGTTAGGTAAAAAAACCCTCATGCGGAGCTCTGCCTCGGGATCTTCCCTGTGCCCACGCTCGCCCGTCGCATTGCAGGTCGGCCACGGCCACCGCATGCGTGACGCCTTGCGCGCGATCGGAGAGCACGCGCTTGAAAAGTAGGCAAAGCTCGGCGTTACGGGCTGTTTTGTCGACAGTTGTTCCGCTGCCCTCCACGTTTTACATCTGCGCGGCAGTCGCGGGACACCCGCGGTGACCAGACCTCATCTAGCTTGTGTTCAAGAGGCGCCGCTCAAACAATTGGCGTTCGTCCTTCCTCCTGCCCCTCCCTCCTCATTTCCCTTCTTCCACGGTCTCTGGTCGTTGGCTTCACCGGCTTGGTCAGCCATTTCCTCGGTAAGATAAGCTTTTATCTATTGTTGTGCACCGCCGCCGTTCGCTCATGCGGGTTTCGGCCAGCCGGCTTCAGGCCGATACGATATGTTGAGAAGTTCGTACCGTTTGATGTGGGTTTCTTCCTGCGTCTTTCTCTTTCTCTCTCTGTTTCTGCTTTTCTCTCCCTCCTGTTCATCCTCCTCCTCCTCCTCGCTGTGCTCCCCTGGATGTATCATGATGATTTCGGTTTTTGTAGTGGCCGTCGGGGTCACTCTGGGTTCCACCGCATGGCCAGTTCCCGCTGTTTTTGAAACCACACTGCCCATTCCCCTTCTCAGTATTCATCATCTTCCTCCTCTTCCTTCTCCTCCTCCTCCTCCTCCTCCTCCTCTTCCTGTTGCTCTCCTGTATGAGTCTGCAGGGGCATGGAAGTTAACGTATTGACTCACATAGCGTGATCACGAGAATCTGGATCCCGAGTCTCGGCCACGTTCGCAGGACATCCATGGTTCGTTGCTGGGGGAAGGCGCACGTATGTACAGACCCACGTTTCACGTGCTGGTTCGCCTATTGCAGGTTGCCCCTCACGTGACACAGGCTTTGACTGGTGAGCGCTGTTGAGCATCTTCGTGGTGACACCACAAGACGTTGCGATGCTGTGGAAAAGTAGAGATGCGCGAGCAGAACGCAGAGGGTAGGTAGTGGATGGTAGGTGATGGACTGGCATGTCTCAAAGGATACATGATGGATTGTCGAGAATCGAATATTGTGAGAGCAGCGAGGAGAGAACTTGGTGAAGTGCAGAGAGCAGCGCGTTCGTAGGGTTCTGCTCATCTCGACCACCTGCATTATGCTTTTTTTATGTTTCGTACGAACATTCGGTCGGTGCTTCCCTGTAGTGCTGGAGATAGAATGTCCACACGCTCGTGCGTAGCTGATCGGAACTCCTAGACGTCTCCCTTGCACTGAACGCTCCAATGCGTGATCCTGGCCCGGACTCTGTCCACGCCTCGGCGAGGACGACCCTTCTGACCTGTGGAAGAAGATCAAGGCAGACAACCTTGTCGCCGTCGATGACGATGCGTCCGGTGGGGACGCCTCGGCCCCGCCAGCCAGCGCCCTGGCCCTTTACGACCTCGTCTCGGTGTCCAAGCACGTCGGCTGTCAGTCCTTCGGCCACTACGTTGCTTACGCGCGCTCCAGCGAGGATCGGGGGGTCCTCCTCCTCCTCCTTGCTCCTGGCTCCTCGCTCCTCCTCCTCCCCCTACCCCTCCTCCTCCCCCTCCCTCCTCCTCCTCCTCCTCCTCCTCCTCCTCCTCCTCCTCCTCCTCCTCCTCGTCCTCCTCCTCGTCCTCCTCCTCCTCCTCCTCCTCCTCGTCCTCGTCCTCCTCCTCCTCCTCCTCCTCCTCCTCCTGCTCCTCCGTGTCCCCCCGTCCGCTGGGTGTTGCGAGCGGAGCCCCCCCGTGGAACGCGCGGCAGTGGAACAGGCACATTGGCTTGCGGGGGTTTGGGGGGAGAGCGGCAGCACGAGGCCGCCGAAACAGCACGTCGGTGTCGCGCAAATCGGGGGCTGTCCAGCACCGCTCGTGCGACGGGTTCCTGCTCACGTTCCTCCTCCTCCCTCGTCCTTTTTGCCTCCCCATCCCCCTTCTCATATTTTGCGATTCCGTTTCCTCCTCCTCTCCCTCGGCTCCTTCTCGTCCCTCCCCAGTCTTCCCTGCCCATCCGTATCGCTCCTTCTGCCTCTTCCTGGTAACTCTTCCTCACCCTCCTCCTCCTGCATGCTTTCTCCTCCTCCTCCTCCTCCTCCTCATCCTCCTCCTCCTCCTCCGCCTCCTCCTCCTCGTCCTCCTCCTCCTCCTCATCATCATCGGCATCGTCTCGATCATCGTCTCTTGGAGCGGACATTCACGACCGTACGCGCCGAGCTGGAAGCGGCGCTCCTATTCATCAGCATCGCCTGTGGCCTCAAGTGCAGCATCAGTCCTGCTTTCCCAGCATGTGCACGCCAACGGGTGATCCGGCATTGTCGCGAAGCGAGACGCGAACATATTCCATGAATATTCTTGCCACCTTCGATTCCTCCATTGGTTCTAATACCTGTTGATTGTTGCGGCGTGTATGCCTTATTTTGTCAGGATGCCTTGTCATATGAGGAACGGGTTGATCGCGATGCTGCATTGCAGTGTTTTCACGGTCGTTTCATTTGTGTTGAGCCTCTCGTGGTTTACTAGATCCATACATTAAGCTCATCATCGTCATCGTCGCCATCATCATCATCATCATCATCATCATCATCATCATCATCATCATCATCATCATCATCATGATCATCATCATCATCATCATCATCACAATCATCATCATCATCATCATCATCATTATCAACAACATCATCATCATCGTCATCATCATCATCTTCATCATCATCAGCATCACCATCACCATCACCATCACCATCATCATCATCAGCATCAGCATCGGCATCATCATAATCATCATACTCATCATCATCACTATCTCCGTCGTTATCATCATATGCACTGCCTAAACGACTCTGCCCGCTGCATTCTTGAAGTGACACGATCATCATCACCACCAACGCGTCGGCATTAGCATCATCATTCGCCCCTCCTTGCCCTCCTGCTCATCTTTCCTCCGTCGTCGTTTCGCTCATGAGACGACGTGAACTCAAGGCCAGTGTCCACCTTACAGGAGGGAAGCCTGGGGGGGAGGAGACAGGTCACTTCCGCACCGAACTCCGAGGGGATGCATAGGCCGATACAAAAGCGGCTGTGCACCCGCAGCCGCACCTCAGCGCTGTCGTGCTCTAGCCTGCACGTTTGTCCAGCCGCGTCCTTCACAGCTGATGCATACAGGGTGCGCTGTCATGCGCGACGCGGCGCTGTCGCTGTTTGTGCGGCGGCGCGAGAAGTGCTCCGCCAGTGCATTTGAGAGCTAGTCCATGGTCGCGTGGCGGGAGTACCAATGACTCGCCGCCACTGGGAGGTCCTCAGCGTGTTACCCCTTCTGTTACGTCCGACAGCATGTTGCCTCCTCAATAGTGGCACGCTGCTGGGTTCCCCCTATCGGCGTGTAATTGGTATTGTTTGTGCGGCTCCAGTTCGGGAGCTCCCCGGTCTTTCCCCCCCCCCCCCTGGCTTTCTCCGCGTGGTCCCCCTCCAGGCGGCGGCGGCGCGGCAGCTCGACCCCGAGGCGCGCGTGCAGCGGGGCGCGGCGCCTTCCTCGGAGCGGGGCGACGAGGGGCTCCAGGTCGCAGGCGCTGCCCCGCTCCTTTCGATCTGCTCGTTTCCGTCGCCCTCGTCGGCTCTCCTTAGTTCTCTCGGCCTCCCGGTGTCGTTTTCGGGCTCGGGGCCGCGCCAGGCCCTGGCCTACCCGAGAGCTGGAATGTGATCATGGACCTGCCCGAGATCACTGGGGAGGAGGTGCTGCGCGCGGCGAGGTCATTTCCCAAGCGGACCGCGCTGGGATGGGACGGCTTCCGCCCGCGCCTTCTGCTGCTGCTGGGGCGGCCTTGTCGCGGACCGCGTAGGCGCGCTGCTGACGGCGTGGGAGCGCGACCCCCACACCACAGGCCTCTTCACCACGCTGATCGTCTTCCTCGCCAAGCCCGACGGTGGCAGGAGGCCCATTGGGTTGATGGCATTCTGGCTGCGCCTCTGGGGGCGCATCAGGCGGAGGTACTGTGCAGCTTGGGAGGAGGAGCATCAGATACCAGAGATCTGGGGCAGCGACTCGGACACCAGCTGCGACAGAGCCGCCTACCTGCACAACTTGTACCTGGGCCTGGCGCGCTCCCGAGGCTTCGGGGGGGCTTCCGTGTATTTCGACATCAGTAAGTTCTATGAGTGGATCGACCACCACGCGGAGCAGCATGGTTTCAGCCCTGGCCTGGTCAAGGCCCTCTGCGTGGCCTACGCAGGGCCGAGACGAGCCACGGTGGACGGTGCCTTGACCGAGGGGTTCCGCGCCAGAGGGTCGGTGATAGCTGGCTGCTCGTGTGCGACCACGATGGCTCGGCTGATGCTGTACGACCTGCTTCTTCGCGGGCGCGGCCTCCGCCAGGTTGGACGGGTGGTCAATGTGATCGGCGACGTGGCGGGGTACGGCATAGGCGCGCAGCCCATCCTGGTCCAGCAGGTCAGCCAGTTTGTCACAGGCGTGGTGGCCATGCTTAGTCACAAGCGCCTGCCCATCAACTGGAGGAAGACCAAGGTGCTGGCCTCGTCGGTGGGTGTGCAGCGGGCGCTGCAGGAGACGGCAGGCTGGCCACTCCCCGCGGGGGCCTTCGTCTCTGGCCACCGCGACCTGGAGCGCTTCATCGCCCACCTGGAGGCCATCCCGCGCGTGGATGCGGTGGCCGACGCCTTTCTCGACGAGCTGCTGCCCTCGCTTCGTTCCCAGCGGGAGAAGGCGGCCGCGGAGCAAGCGCGGGACAAGGAGGCGGCTCGCTTTCGCAGGGCGGCCAACTCGGCCAGCAAGGCGGAGCGCAAGGCGGCTGCAGCTCGCAGGGCGCTGTCGGCTGCTGGTCAGGCGGTGGCTTCGGCGGAGCTGGCTGTGCAGGCTGCTGGTGATCAACTGGAAGAGGCAGAGGAGCGCCGTACTGAGGCGAGAGAGGGGTTGGCAGAGCTCGAGTCGGCTGCGGCAGCTGCCAGGTCGGAGCAGGAGCGGATGCAGGTCTCCGAGTCGGACTTGCAGGCGGTGCGCGGGCTCTTCCTGCAGCTGCGCACGTTGCCCGCAGCGCACCTGGCTGGGAACTTCAGGGACGCCTGGCGGTCGACCATTCAGCAGCTGGAGGCCGTGGAGGGGCGCTTCGCGGACCGCAGCAGCTCGCCTGGGGCGTCAACCAGGGAGCGCTGGTGCGACAGCTCCCCGGTCGACGAGGACGAGGATTCCGACGTGGAGCTCATGGGCGAGCTGTGCCTGCGTCTGAGCGCGGCCAGGCAGAGCGCCGTGGTTCGACAGGAGGCGCCTGGCCCCAGGTGCCTAGGAGTGTGCAGCGGGAGTTTGTGGATGAGGCATCCGACCTGGGCCCTCTGGCGACAGTGCCTCCGAGCCACGCGGCCGCGCCTGGTGGCAGCAAGCAGGCGCTTTAGCAGCGGGCCCCTGGCGCAGTCTGCCAAGAAGCTGAGGCAGGCGGAGGAGATCCCGCCCCCCCTCGGCTGCCGGCGCGATCACGATTAACGGGTCCTCGCGGGCCGAGACCCGGGCGGCGCTCGAGCAGTTGCGGGGCCGCGGGGGGCAGAATGACGTGATTCTGGTGCAGGAGACGCGCTTCCACGGAGGCGCGGCAGAGGCCTCTGCGCGCAGCTGGCGCAGGAGGAACGGGATGCAGGCCGCGCTCGGTCCGCGCAAGCGCACTGAGCCGTCTGCGCAGGAGGTATCTTCTGGAGTCGGGGTCTTGACAGCCAGCTTCCGAGGAGTGGCTATGATCGAACAGGACTGGGGCGACCTGGGGCACAGGGTTCTCGCCCGGCGCACTGCCTTCGGCGACCTGGTGCTCGCGTTCGCGAGCGTCTACCTGGGGCGCTCATCGAAGCTCGCGGGCGTCAACCGCGAGCTGCTGGGTATGGCCCAGGAGTTCCTCAACTCGGTCAACGAGCCCTTCGCTGTCGCGGGCGACTGAAACATGGAGCCCCCGGATCTCCTCAGCTTCAGGTGGCCGCGATCCATCGGGGGGTCGCTGTTGGAGTCGCGGCGCCCGGCGTGCAAAAGCAGGAAGTACGACTACTTCGTGATTTCGGCGTCGCTTTCAGCGCTCGGGCCCTAGGTCGAAGCGCTGCGACCAGCGGTGGCCCATCGCCACGTGCCAGTTCGGCTCTCATTTGGCAAGCTGGGGGCGTTGGCGGCGCACGTGTGGGTGCTGAAGAGTCCGGGGAGATTTGATGTGCTGGAGGTGGTGCCCCTGCTGCCCTGGGGCGCGCGGCAGCCCGAGCCCAGGGGGCTCGGTGGCAGGCGCCGCTGCAGGACGCCAGCGGCTCCCCCGACGAGGCGGTGAGGGAGTTTTGCGACGTGGCGGAGCAGCGCCTCATCGCGCTCTACGAGATCCAGGACGGCGACGCCTACGCTGGACAGGCGCAGGGGCGGCGCCTCGCGCGAAAGTGCATGAGGGACCTGCAGCGCACGGAGACCGCGAGGATAGTCAGTCCGCTGACGAGGCTCCGGCTGTCGCTGAGGCGGTTGGCG